CTAGTTTATATATATATATATATATATATATATATATATCAGTTTTAGATTTCAGATTCTAATCCTTTATTAAATTTCAACCAAATGAGACAGTGCCCTAAATCATTAAACTAGTATCGCCTTTATAATCTGTTTTACAACATGAAAAATCCATTTCCCAACATTTGTATACGTTTGAAACAACTCAGAATATAGATAAACAAACATGTAGACCATTAAAAGCAAGAGCACATGAAATAGTTAAATACAACTATGCACTTACCTGAGTCAAAGTTGTTGCATCGGCAATAACAAATGGGACATTTACAAAGCGAGCAAGTGTTTTGGCAAGTAGTGTCTTCCCTGTCCTTAAAAATAGCACCAAATCACAATACAAGATCAGAAAGCAACGCAATAATAACTTAAACTTGCCGGGTGACTTTAAGCTTGATTATTTTTGGTAATTTTGCAAATTACAGTATAAGAAAACATACGGGCTGAAATTAAAGTAGCATACCTGATCCAGTTGGGCCAATCAAAAGTATATTGCTCTTCTCCAACTCTATGTCATGGTCGGAATCATTGATAACAGGATCAAGTTTTGCTGAGTCAGGTCCAGGCCTGGAAATAAATCAGCAAAATCAGGCAAGAGATTAAAGAAAGATGTAGATGCATACCATTCAATTCATATGTATTTACATATCTAACACCCAAATTTCAAATTTTGCATATATGCCCACTTACCTATGTAAGAAAATGTGCATTATACTTTCTAAAAAGTTAAAATAGTAGTATTTTTACGTGATATGAAACATATTGGTGGTTTAAATGTAAAAATCGAAGTTTAGGTATTAGATATGTAAATACCTAAGAATTGGGCGGGTGTATGTAAATGCCCCAAGATTATAAATTCTCAATTTATAGTTTAAATGTTCGTCCGGATTTAAAAGTAGCATTGCATGAAGGAACACTAGTCGACACAAACATAAGCTGCAACCCAACTTTTTTAGCATGCAATGACATGGAAGTAAGATCACATGAAGACCAACCCTTTGTCCAGTGATGCAAAATAGATTCGTTTATAATGGTTATAAACAGCCACAGAGAGCACCTGCAATTAGTAAACAATATTATGAAAAGAAATTTCAGACTTCTGTTCAGCAGAAACTGAAGACAATAATTTAACCAATCTCCATAAAACAAACTCAAAACATATAGTGTGAAATTATATTTAATATATTTTCGGATAGAAAAATCTTTTCTTATGCTATATTGGCCTCTGAGAATAAATTTTCTCTGCCTCTTTGTTCAGGAAGATTTTTGGGTAAGCAAATGGCCTTTAATTTTTATTGACCCAATCTTTACTCACTTTGCAAAAATAGACTACTTAGAAATCAAATAACAAGCTTGAATTTAAAATATACTCAAATATCAAAATCAAACAAAGAAATTTGTGCTTGCCATGTGGTAATAATTTATTTAGAGGTGACATTTTTAGCATCAATATGAATAATCGATTTAACTACACTAATGTGAGTCCTAGGCAAAAATTTCTGATTTTTGAAATTTAATAATCAACTGGCCGATAAATGCATTTCTTTCCTCAAGGTAAATTCCCTTTTCCTAAGAAAATTTGCCTTAAACTTTTACAATAAATTAGGTAAAATCTGTTTTAAGATGCCTTCAATGTTGATATTAGAGGAATCTATTCCAACAATTTAGGTCTACAAAATTCAACCAAAGCATTTGACCCAATATTTAATTATGTGAACTGCAATGTAAGTTCATTTGACAATGAAAAAGGGTAATAAAAAATAAGAGCATGGTTTAGAGAGACAAGAAATCTCTATGATTATATGATATCTATTACTTCATCTGAAAATTTAAAAGTAAATGTGATACTCCTTTCTATAGAAATGGTTGTCAAATTAATAATATTATGATCTAAAAATCTAACATTGACTTGAAAGATTATTTTTGGAGCATAGATTTTTAAAACATTGACTTGAAAGACTATTAAGGTGTTTAAAATGTTCAATTAATAAGTTTGAGTAAGCAAGAATATCACAAAAATGTACAATACTGGAGTAAGAATATCAATCATGACATTCTGGAATTGCCATGATGTTTTTATCTAGCCAAACTGCATCCATTCCATTAGTAGTTTCTAAGAGAAACTATGAACGTTATTTTGTAATAATCTTAATCTTTAATTGGAATATGTAAGCAACCAGAATTAGAGAAGAACAATGTTTTATTGAAAGGATTAAACTGATCGTTCATATTTGGAATTGGATAGCAAATCCATTTAGAAATTTTCTAAGGATTTGTAATTTATAACTAATTTGATTTTCCATGCTCCTTTCAGCAACATGTATCACATAAAAAGTTATACAAATCCAAAAAGAGTAAGACTCGTGAATAAATTTTTTTTATAAAACACTGTTTATTTCCTCTTTGCAAAAGTTCAACCAAAAATTATTCATTTAACAAGGTATTGTTTTTTTAAGAATGTTTTTCATTGAAGTTTTGTTCATAAGGAAGGAGATGCAATGAATAATTCTACCCAAATAAGCATTTATACATACCACAAATTTCACAGTGAAATTTTTAGTGACATTTATTATTATGGCTCAAACAATAACAATTTATAGGTTTTTACTCCCATTTGAACTTCTCAAGAAAATTTAACTCAACTCTTTTACTTTATTTTATTCATTTCCCTTGGAAGGCATGCACATGCTGAGGATCATCTTATTATTAGAACTCACGAACTAATCCTAAAGATGGAAAACAAGGACCCAATGTTATTGACAAAAAACGAAATCAAGATCCCATAAATACATGCCAATAAAAGAAATAAAGATCTCATAAATCCATACCAAGGAAAAAAATCCTAAATCTATGTGTTAATATATATTTATTTGTATAACTATAAACATTTCCAAGCCTCGTTCATAGATTAGTTTATATATTGCCTCATAAAAATATTTTATGGAATAAAAAAAGTATTTTTTTTTAAAATGTCATATTCTCCACATTGTACAAGTGCCTGAAGTTCTTTTATCTATTTCTTGTTCATCTCAGCCTTCGCCTTTTGGCTAAATTTCGACCTTTATCCTCATATCTCTACACGTCTTGGTCTTAATCACCCAATGCAAAGCCACAATTTCCATTCGACAACATCAACTCCTCTACATGTGATCTCCACTCATAATTTTACGATATTGTGTGCCTTAAACACTACAACGTAAACCACCATTGATCCCACTAATTATCAGTTTTTTACTCAAAGCTCTCCAAAACACATGTTGATGTAGCCTCCAGTGTTATATTTCTCTTCACTAATCATAGTCTAATTCATGTTTTCATATACCCACCTATGGTGCTCAAGCTTTTGGAGAGCTTCTCTAATCCCTTCCGAGGTTGGTCAACCTTCATGACAAAGGCATCCACTAAAAAAAAATCAAAGGCTAGTCCAAATCAGAAAAACATTAATAAAGAGAGAAAAAAAACTAAGAGAATTATTGGATATGATAAAAAATTTCAAAACTAGTAACCCTTGTTCGCAGCATACTCATTTGGATTTTTGCAATATTAGAACCTTTGGTGAGCATTAACAAACAAAGGATTGCTGCCAACAATACTAACAAGATTTGGTTATTCACAAGGAAAGAATTAACCATCAACATTATCATTGATGATCCTCAATTTTTGCACTTCTTCTTTGATATTAATGTTGTAAAGGCTGGGCTACCATCGTATATGCAAGTTGCATTTATCAGTTAAGACTTGACTTATGGGGAAAACTGAACATCTTGGGCTCTTCCATGTTGGAAAACTGGTTTGTTGGGGGGATTCCAATAGGATCACATGTTTTAAGGAGAAAAAGGGTGGAAGAAGACCCAACTTCAATCTGATATCAAGATTCAATGGGGCTATTACGAATGCAATTTTTTTTTTATATAGGTTTTGTTGGCCCTAGCTACACTTGGAGAAGAGGAAGGACTTTTGAAAGAATAGATCATGCTTTTGCTAATCAAGGTTGCCTAAACAACTATCCAACTACAAAATTGTATCATTTACCAAACCTTGGGTCCGGTCGCCGACCTCTTTTATTTAGTATTGCTATTACAAACAAGCCTTCCTTCTCCCCCTTTCGTTTTCACAATGTGGTTGAATCGTGATGATTATACAAATTGTGTGAAGAGGAACTGAAATATAGATGTGCAGAGCAACCCTTAGGAAAGACTCTGGTAACTTCATAAGAACTTGGGTGCTGGTTTAAAAAGGTAGAACTGGAATACTTTTGAGGATTTTAATCAACAAATAAAAAAGGCTGAAGAAGAGGTTCTTAAAATGGAGGAGGTGGATATATGCAATCACAGTTATTTTATAGTATTGGTCGATTCCTACAAGAAGTTAAAATAAAGATATTAAATGTGAGGATAATATCTAAAGCAGAAGGCTGGTAAATTACACATGTTAGAAAAAGATAGGAACACTAGCTACTTCCATGCATGTATTAAAAACTGATGGAGAATCAACACTACTTTAAAAATTCAAGATAATAATGATGGTTGGTTGATAGATCAGGAGGACATTATTAAAAATGGGATTGATTATTTCAAGCTCCTTTTTTATAAGGTGAACTTTGTTGTAGTGTTGGATGCTGACATTACCTGGGAAACTAAATACTAACCTCATCTTTACAGCTTGTTGATATACCTTTTGTGGTTGAAATATGGAAGATTGTTAATGATATTAATGGGAACAGGGTTGCTGGCCCTGATGGATTTTCTGCTGATTTCTATAAAAATAGTTGGGAGGTGGTCAAAAGAGATGTGGTTGATGTTGTTTAATGCCAATATGGGGGCACTCCTATGTGCAAATATTTTGCAACCTCCTCCATTGTACTAGTTCCAAAGAATAATGATAAAAGCAAAATGGGAATACTTCAGACCCATTTGCTTAAGCTCTGTAATGTCAAATATCATAAGCAAGATCATGGTGGAAGAGCTAAAAGCAACATCACCCTATCCTAATTTGTCCAAATCAATCAGCTTTCACCCAAGGAAAAGGTAAAACAGATAATATTTTATTAGCACAAGAATTAATATGTGATCTTGATTATAAATGAAAAGGGGAAATCTTATTATCAAATTGGACTTAAGGAAATTTTATGACACTATTAGCTAGAATTTTATACTTGAGGTCGTTAAATCCAGAGGCTTCAACTCCAAGTTTTACAATTTTGTCAAAGGTTGGTTGGAGGGAAAATATTATTAGATGCTCCTTAATGGGCAAGCATATGGCTTTTTTACCTCTGGTAGAGGCAAAAAACAGGGGGATTCTCTCTCACCCACTATCTTTATTCTAGTATTTGATTATTTTTCAAGATTAATTAATTTCATGCAGATTCTACATTCCCATATTCAGTACAAAAATAAGGCTAAAATAGGAGTTAGTCATTTGGCCTATGCTAATGATGCGATTGTTTTCACTAATGCTTCCAAATACTCTAACAAAAAAATATATCATACTCTTCTCTCATTTCAGAAATGCCATATTTATTTTGAGAAACATGTGAGTAGCAATATGAAGGCATGGGCACATGAGTATATTGGCTTTACCATTGATGATCTCCCCTTAAAATACTTAGGGGTTTATTTACTCAAATGGAGGAGAAAACATATGCAATTTGTTGTTGTGGGATAAAATCAAAAGCAAAATTGGAGATTGGACCGATTCTTTTTTATCCATTGGGGGAAGGATTACTTTGCAGAAAAATATGTTAACATCTATTCTCTTATATGCTTTACAGGTACTAAGGATCAAATTTGGCACACAGTTAATACTTGAAAAGCTTTTTAATAAATTTTTATGGTCTGGGAATCATAAACAAAGAATTTGGGCTTGCTAGAGGGTGCTATGTAGGCCAAATGCAGGTGGGTTGGGATTTCGACAACTAAAACATCTAGCTGAGGTTAATTCTATTCTTCTGTGTTTAAAATTTAGAAAAGTTGAATCTCTATGAGCCAAATACATGCAAAACAAATATTGTAGAAATCTTCATCCAATAGAAATTCATACCAAGATTGGTGATTCCAA